TGCCTGATCCTTTTGTGCCAATATTTGGACAATAAAATATGTTTACAGTCAAAGTCACAAAAACAATGCTTGAGCATGGTTTTCACTCTCATGAATACGGGCCCTGATATATGATACGGTCTGATACAATCGATATAGAGGTTACCAAGCGAATGATTGTTGGTTGTCATGTTTATCTAACTCGACTTAGTTAATCTTCAAATTGTATTAAAACACGAGGTTTACCTGTTTGACCTGGTTCTCCCATAACGTTCGTATTTTTTACCTGAAAATCAACATTTTTCCCTTGGAAAAGACATCATGTGTGTTTCCAATGAGAGAACCCATTGCCATGAAGCATGACGTCACAATGGATAATGACGTAGAAACGCAATGTACCGTGACGTCATAAAACAAAGATTGACCAATGAAATCACGTCCAGGGTGTTACCCACTTGTTGGTAACCAAAAATGTTTACCAACTCCTTTGCAGGTTTATCAAATAAGTCATAAGTGAGGAAACCTACAGTGTTTGTGAGAGAAATACGCTTCTAAGGACACCTGGTCTTATTCTTCTTTTACTCTTTCAATGTCTCCATTTTAACTTTCCTTTTTATATACTTTTTCATACGATTTTAAGTTCAAATTACAGATTTGTTGACGCCTAGGTATTATCATATTTATAATACTATTGATATCGTTTATGGTTTGATATAATACTATTGATACGTGCTATTGTATAATATGTACATGCCTCCCTTCTTCAGCTTAGTAAACATTGACTGCGTATAAATTAGCGTATACGCGGTGAAAAAAAGACTCGGCGGATTGATACTTGTTTCAAATATGGCGCCGTTCGCACTTCAGCGAGATGACAGTCCAATGACAACCAATGCTTGGGTCATTTACCATCTAGATACAAAGAACATATTCGGGATCCATCATGTCTAATTATACAACAAAAGAATGCTGACAAACTTCGTATTCCATGGATGCACATTCAAATCTCTTTGACGGTAACGTCAACAATGGCGACTTCGTTCTGACCGCGTCACTCAATGCTCGTACATGACGACGGTTGTAAATGAATAAAAAAGTTCTAAAGGCTTCTCACATTGCTCAATTTGCAATTTAAAAACCATGAAAAGAAAAACGTAGTACTGTTCACTGCGTATTTTCTAAATTTTCCCACACATCGATGTAGATTCACTGGAACTATATTGTCCTAGCAACCACGACTACCGTAGTAACCATCGTGGCAACCCGCTTCGACCTTTTCTTCGTAATGTAGCATTTAAACACCTTTTGAATGTAAATATAAGGACTGACCTTCAATTTGACGGCGTATACGGTAGTACGAACGCAGTTGGCAACAAAAACAATCTTTATGGAGCGCTATCGCGCACCATTGAAAATGTTCGTTGCCAACTGCGTTCATACTACCGTATACGCCGTCAAACTAAAGGTCAATCCTTAACTGTACTTATGCCACAGCGGCTCTTCCATACATAGACTTATTTTCAGCCGTGTGAATTCTGTCTCTAAATCCACTCCTTTACTGCTCTTGGAGTCTTACTTCTATCGCTCTAAACAAGACAATAACATTAGAGTGACATTGAACGGTATCGGTATGCATGTATGTTTTTGAATCGTCAATTTTGGATCCGTATTTTACAACTTGTAAAGCGTATGACTTGTAGCGATACATCCAACCGTTTAACGAATAAATTCATTATGCACATCTTCGATGCTTTCTTTAACTTTCTGATCGATAATTTGTGATTAGATTATAATTGAACAACTAAATACCGGATGTTTCTTCTCGTTTCTTGATTGTTTGGGTATATTCCACTATCACCATCCGTGTTGCTGTACATCCCTTCAAAACATGCTGACAAAGTACCCACAATGCCTTGACGGCATCGCGCTGTCACATTGCATACTCTGGGTTGACCATGCTGTCTTTTTGAAATCAGCCATTACAATATGATATACCTAAGAGAGGTCGCTAGTTCTTTTTAGCATCTTTCGAATTGCATTATAATTCGTTCAGAGTGCTTTTTCAGTATTGAGGAGCGATTTCGCTTCTAATTTTTTGTTCTTTGTTTGGGGTTTTACGTGCTTCAGATCTTCTGTCAGAAATTAATTACGTTCTTTTAGTTTGTTTTGCAAGCTTACGGTTTCGGACACCTGAAGCAATTACTTTGATCATCGTATCGACATTTACTTTATACACAAACAAGTTTACGTATCAAACGTAATGCAAAGTTTCAAGGCCGACTGGTCCTTTGTCAAGCTATGACTGATATAAGCTTGACAAAGGGACCAGTCAGTCTTGAAACTCTACGACACGTTTGATGCCTACATTGTTGGCGTATAAAGTACAACTTTGATACATACGTATATCCAAACTGAGGAAGGTTATTGAAGATTCAATGTACATCAGCGATGATATATGTGACTTATTTGCTGTTTCAGGATTACGCTGGTACCTGTCGGAATCACACCTGCCCGGTGACTGATAAGTGTGTGGGTTTGACGTCAGGACAAGACGTTTGTGTGAAGTTTGGTAGGTGTTGTATCTCTCATTGAAAAATAATCACCATCTCTTTTTCAGCATTTATTATTCAAAACTTCATTTCAATGTAATAATCAACATAGGCTTACCCAAGCCCCTGTACTTGATGTAAGATTTAAATATATATTTATAAAACATATAGATGAATTTAACACACAGGTAATTACACCTTTTACATTTGGTAATATAAACAGCAAGCCTTAAATGAATGACACTGACTCGTACAGCTGTTTCGTCCTTCTAGGACTCATCGGTGATGCTTGTCCCGGTATACTATCTGTAATCAGGTTGTACATTGTCCCGGTATACTATCTGTAATCAGGTTGTAATTGTCTCGTTATACTATCTGTAATCAGGTTGTACATTGTCTCGGTATACTATCTGTAATCAGGTTGTACATTGTCCCGTTATACTATCTGTATTCAGGTTTTACATTGTCCCGTTATACTATCTGTAATCAGGATGTACATTGTCCCGGTATACTATATGCAATCAGGTTGTACATTGCCCCGGTATACTATCTGTAATCAGGTTGTACATTGTCCCGGTATACTATCTGTAATCAGGTTGTAATTGTCTCGTTATACTATCTGTACTCAGGTTTTACATTGTCCCGTTATACTATCTGTAATCAGGTTGTTCATTGTCCCGGTATACTATCTGTAATCAGGTTGTACATTGTCCCGGTATACTATCTGTAATCAGGTTGTACATTGTCCCGTTATACTATCTGTAATCAGGTTGTATATTGTCCGGGTATACTATCTGTAATCAGGTTGTACATTGTCCCGGTATACTATCTGTAATCAGGTTGTACATTGTCCCGGTAAACTGTATGTAATCAGGTTGTTCATTGTCCCAGTATACTATCTGTAATCAGGTTTTACATTATCCCGGTATACTATTTGTAATCAGCTGGTTGTACATTGTCCAGGTATACTATCTGTAATCAGGTTGTACATTGTCCAGGTATACTATCTGTAATCAGCTGGTTGTACATTGTCCCGGTATACTATCTGTAATCAGGTTGTACATTGTCCCGGTATAGTATCTGTAATCAGGTTTTACATTGTCCCGTTATACTATCTGTAATCAGGTTGTACATTGTCCCGGTAAACTATCTGTACTCAGGTTTTACATTGTCCCGGTATACTATCTGTAATCAGGTTGTACATTGTCCCGGTATA